GTAGAAGGCAGGGACCAACAACTAAAGTTATCCTTTGATCTAAACACACACACACACTCACACACACACTCACACACACACTCGCACACACACACACACACACACACACACACACACACACACACACACACAGGATGGCAGGTATGTCCTCTCCAGCTATGCTGTGGAATGATACCCTCCATGGTGCCTAAGGAACCCAGCCTCAGCACTGTACCTCCCCGACCTGTAGGACAGTAACTACAGGGCACACATCAGGCACCCGGTAGCTGCTTAGCAGCCACACGTCAAGACTAAGCTGGTCAAACCTGTGCATGTTACAGACAGGTCAGTGGAGGCAAGGCATGGTGACCCAAGACCACTGAATGATAAGGGAAGAAGTGGACAATGGCTACAGCCTCCTTCTATGATAGCATCTGACTTTAAAGTCAACGTGCAATCAACAGGCAATCAACACGGGATTAGGAATGCCCTACTGCAAAATGCCAAGTAAACAAGAAACTCCCCAACAATGGTCTTCATGCTATACCAGTGATTCAGAACTTTGGCCTCTTTGATAACTCAGAATGACCTATGTGAAACTCAGATAAGAGTTTTCAAAGGTTCCTGGAGCACCCCCCAAAAACCCACTCGGACACCCCAGTTAAGAATCCCCTTGAATGCTTGAGTAGGTACTGAGTTCGAGCTCTATGTGGTTAGTTTTATGTCAACCTGACACAAGCTAGAGTCACTTGGCAAGCAGGACACTCAAATGAGAAAATGCTTCCATAAGGTTGGCCTATAGGCAAGTTCATACAGGATTTTGTTGATTGATGATCTGTAGGGAAGGGCCCAGCTCAATGGAGATGGTACCACCCCTGGACGGGTGGTCCTGGATGTTATAAGAATGTCGGCTGAGCAAACCATGGAGAGAAAGCCAGTAAACAGCACCCCTCTACAGCCTCTGCTTCAGTTTCTGCCTCCAGGTTCCTGCCTTGAGGTCTGCCCTAACTCCTCAGTGATGGGCTGTGACCTGAGAGTTTTAAGTCCAATAAACCCTTTCCTCCCCAAGTTGCCTTTGGTCACAGTGCTTTATCACAGCAATAGAAACTGTAATTAAGACATTCTAGAACCACATGAACAAGTGTGGTGACACACACCTGTAATCTCAGCACTTGGGAGGAAAAGGCAGAAGAACCAGTTCAAGCTCATAGCGAGACCAGCCTGGGTGGAGGCAGGAGGATCCTAGAGTTGGGTTATATAGTAAGATCCTGTCTCAATAAACCACACTAAAACCAAAACAAAATAAAGAACCTAATTCTCCACACTGCTGAGAGTGCTCATTCTCCAGATTGCCTACACATCACATGACTGGTGAATCCACTAATCCCTGGGCAGGCTGATAAATCAGCATCGGCACATCAGAGGATTCTGGGATCGGCAGCTCTCAGTCAAGGTAGACTGTACCTTCCATAGACTCTGCTTTCTTCTGCTCCTAAATCAGTCTATGATGTGTAATCTCAATTGCCAACTTGAGGAGATCTAGAACTATCTGAGACACAGGCCTCTCAGCACACCCAGGTGGATTATCTTGAGTAAACTGATGGAAGTAGGAAGACCTGCCCACCATTGGTAGCAACATCCCCCAGGCTTGGATCCTACATCATATAAAAAGGGAAACAGACCTGAGCACAAACATTCCACTCCACTTCCTGACTAGAGATGCACTCTGACCAGCTGCACCAGCCCCTGCCATGGTGACTCCCACCATGCTGTACTTGGCTCTTGAACTGTGAGCCACACAAAACCCTTCCTTCCTTACACTGCTTCCTTTTTTAAGTTGTCAGGGTTACCACAGCAACAGGAAAGAAGCTAAGGCAGTCTTCATCCTGCAGTTCTGACCCCAACACTGCCCCCGACAAAATACTTCTAGGGAAAAAGAGCTCTAGATCTGATTCATCCAGGACAGCAGCTACATGTAGCTGTTTAGATTTATACTAAAACAGAATCAAATTCTATATCACTAGCCACAGTTCCAATGCCCAACAGCCACAGGTAGCTAGTAACCACCACAATATAGCTGGTGAATGCATCTGGGTTGGCTGGTTTTACTGTCAACTTGATACAACCTAGAATCACTTGAGAAGAGTCTCAACGTGGAATTATCCAGATCAGGTTGGCCTGCGGGCATGTTTGTGGGGGACTGTCTTCATTGTTAATGTCAGAGACCCAGTCATTGTGGGTGGCACCATTCCCTAGGCAGGGGCTGCTGAGCAGCACACGGGAGAAGAAAGCTAGCTGAGAGCTAGCAAGCAAGCAAGGGCTGCATAGGACAGCGCCCAGCAAAGCAGGACCTGACCCTTACATGGCAGAGGTGTCCTTATACTCTAGCCTGGGCAACTCCATAGGCAGGGGCTGGGTCCTGCACACTGCATAACCTGATGCACCAGCCCAGGGTCAGGCCCACAGGTGATATTCACCAGGTACTGAACACATGATTGTCTGCATGATCAATAAACTCCTCCACTTAGGACTCCAGTTCCCACAGTACAGAAGGATAAATAATGTGCCTTCAATATCTGGAACCTGTCTCTGGTACCTGTGGATGTCACATTTTTTAGACTTGGCATCTTCATTTAGTAAAGGATCTAAGAGAGACAAACAGAAACAGAAAGGCTCATGCAGCCCAAGCTGGTCCTGAACTCACCATGTAGCTGAGGATGACCAAGATGCCTCTACGTCCCTTGCACTGGGATTACGGGTGTGTGCCACTATGCCCAGTTTATTTAGTGCTAGGTATGGACTGGAACCCAGGGCTTCCTGCACGCTAGGCAAGCACTCTATGCCAACTGAGCTACATCCCCAGACCTCACACAGTAAAGGATCCTGAAGTGAAAATTACCTGAGATTGCTGAGCAGGCTTGAGATGTTGTCACAAATACCTTTGTTAGTGAAAAGTACAAGGAGTATGCACACACATGTGCGAGTGTGCATGTGTAGACGCATGCACGCATGCACCACCATGCCTCACTTATGCTATGTTTAGGAAGGAACCCACAGCTCTGTGCATGCTAGGCAGGAACTCCACCAACTGAGTTAGTTACATGAGACCAGCGTGTTTATGATAATTTGTTACAGAGACCATAGGGAGAGAATGCAGTGTGTTCCATTCTAAGGAAGAGCTGATGGGAGGGGGCGATAAGAGGACTGGCTGAGGATTCATCAGAGTGGTAGCGCTCTTAACAGGGTGCACAAGGCCCTCAGTTCCATCCCCAGCACCAGAAAAAATAAAGGAAGGTACCAGGGACCGGTTGCCAACTATGCCAGTTGGAAGAAGAGATGAGCAAAATGGACAAGGGGCTGTGGCTGAGCTGGGAATGTTTCTAGAGGATCGGATTCTCTGGCCACTGGCCAGCATGCTTCCAAGTCACTTCTCCACCCTGGTCCTGCTGCCTCCTGGCTGCTTCAGCACCTTCAGGTGCCAAGCATGTCTGGGACCCGGCCGAGGATCAGTCTGGCTGGTTAGAGTGGCAAGCACTTTCTCATCTGCCCAGCTGCCCACCGACTCCCTCCTATACTGCCACACAGCCACCTTCGCTGACCTTCCAACAAGGCTGCAGGACCCCAGCACGTGCTCTTCCTTCAGCTGGGAACTCTTTCTCCAGAGTCCCCTATGGCCGCCTGCTTCTCATCCTTCATTCTCAGCTTAGAAGTCAGAGAAACACCCCCTGGTTGTGCTACAGCGTGAGAGCACCTCTTGGAAATGTCTCTTGCCTCACAATGCTGGTTTCTTCCTAACCCTGCTAACATATTTGCCTCATAAGTTAGCAGTCTCCCTGGCCAACTGCAGGCTCCAAGGGGGCAGGGTCTGTGTGACTGCACACAGTAGTTGCTCTGTGTATTTTAAATGAATGAATTTGCAGTTTGGGACCACTGGTCCAAGGTCTGGTCTCAACATACCTGATCTTGGCCTTCCTAAACGCCAGCTCCTCTTCATTGCCGAAGTCCAGGGACACATCCTCGGTATCATCCACGAGGGCCTGGGGGACACCAGGTACAGAATGCAGGCCCCACCGACGCACACCCGGCCTCCACTCCTAAGGGCCCTCTCTTTCTGGGCACACCTCAGGTTCTCCTAGCGTTATTCCCTCACCACTCCAGGCTTTCCCCTTCCTCTTTACACTGGGCCTCGTTCAGCCTTAGGCTCCAAGGCCAGTGCATTTATCTTCCTCTCTCGGGCTCTTTGCCATCATCATCCTCACGGCCAGGCATCCCCACAGGCCTACCTGCTTCATTCTCCTGGGTACCACTGGACCCTACAGCGCAGGCTCCAGCTCCGCCCTTCACCGCCCAAGGTTTAGGATGCCCAGCAAGCAGCCGGGAGGGACGCCAGGAGCTGAGGCTCCGCAGCTTTGCTTTGGTTGTCTGTGGGGGGAGGGGCTCTGCGCAGTGCGCAGTCTCGGGCTGGGGCTGGACCAGAGAGGATCCCCAGGGAAGCTGTGGCAACTAGCAGAAGCTGAGAGCAGGGAGCTGAGGCAAAGAGAGGACAGTGAGGGATGGTGGCAGGTGTGTGTGTGTGTGTGTGTGTGTGTGTGTGTGTGTGTGTGTGTGTGGGAGAGAGAGAGAGAGAGAGAGAGAGAGAGAGAGAGAGAGAGAGAGAGAGAGAGAGAGTGTTCGGGATGAATGAATGAATGTACGTCAGTATCCAGAAGCCACACTCAGGTTGGAAGGAAAGTTTTCAAGTTCTATGAAAAGCAGATTTTTCTGGGACAGGTATAGTAGCACAGACCTGTGACCCCAACACCTGGAAATCTGAGGCAGAAGATTGCCTGACTGCATAGAAAAGCAAACAAACAAACCAGGTGTGATCAGGATCATGTTGCTTGGCTCGGGGACTGTGGCATTGTTATAGAATGGGCACACTGAGGAGAGCAGCTATTGACGTGGGAAGGCCTTACTGGCCTTCCCTGGCCCAGGACAGAGTCACTCCACCTCCTCTGTGCCCCCCCCCCATTTCCCAGTTCCTACCCCACCCCCTCCACCATCTTCCTCAGCCCCACATCCCTGCTCTACTGCCCTGGGGTAGAGAGCTCAGTGCCAGGAAGCCAAGGCTGTTGGTTCTCCTTTGCTGGTTCGAGTTTCTCCCTGCCCCCAAGCAGATGTTAGCAGAACTCCTGGTGACCCCGTGGGGGGCACTGGGCCACAAGCTCCGCGGCAGCTCCCACCCTGCGGCCCTGGTTGGGGTGCAGTGAGGAGCTGCCGCATGTCTGATCCTCTGGCTGCGCCAGAGGCCGCCAGCTGTGTGCTCCATTTTTTAGGCCACAGAGATGCTGTCTAGAGGGAGGGTGGAGGCCATCCTCGGGGGCTGAGCCTTTCCAAGTATTTTTCAGACCATGCCTGACATGGTAAAGTTGGCCTGAAATCGAAGTACTTAGGAAGGCTGAGGCAGGAAGATCACAAGTTTTAGGCTAGCCTGAAATACAGAACAAGTTCAAGGCCAGCCTGGGCAACTTAGCAAGACCCTGTCTCAGAACGTTTATTGGAGTGCACGTGGGAGCGGTGCTTTTGAAAGAGTTCTAGATTGTTTGCCTTGCATACAAGAGGCGCTTGCCTCAATCTCCAGTGTCACATATGTATTCCCAAGCCCAGTGTCAGTTCTAGTAGCTTCTAAAACCTCTACCATCCAACTGCCACCATAGTCCACTGGAATCAGTCCAACAGAACTGCCAAAGCTCGCAGGGGTCAGATCCAGTGCCTTCTCTTGGGCCTCCACCTGGTGGTGTCTGTGGAAGGGCCGGGGGCGCTCCTGGAATGGAGCCTGGCTGTGCTATCTGGGCAGCAGAGAGTCCAGGTCTCTTATGACTCCCATGTGAGACCAAGGTCGGGATTGCCTTCCAGGCATCAGGATCTACATCACCGAGGCTGGGCTTTCTGGAAAGTGCTGTTGGCTCTTCCCCAACCACAGCTGGCTCCAGGCACAGATGTGACATGGAGAAGCCACCAGGAGTGGACTGGGGAAAGTGTCCGCAGTGGGGGCCAGGTGGAGGTGAGAGGCCGTTGTAGTGCATTTAGGGGCTTTTCCTCTGACCCTGAGCACCAGCAGCTGCTGGTGTTTGTTGAGTTGGGGACAGTTGGGAAAACCCCTTTGGAAGCCCCATTAGGGCTAACTGACACTCTCGGGGTGGGGAGCCTCAGGAACAACCACTGCTACTGCCACGAAGGTCACCCCATGAACACCAGGTGACTTTGCTCTCCACCTGCCCTGGCCTGTCCTCACAGGGCAGAGGACGGGAGGGCAAAGACCAAGAACTGTGCAGGGAATTTATCATCTGCCTTGAAGCTGGCTCAGCTACCTGTCCATACACCAACAGGAGAGGTGAGGAAGAGTGAAAACAGAAGAGACTCAGTCAGCACACTGGGAAGAATCAGATGATGGGGCCTGAGCTCATCTTCAGGGCACAGATACGAGCTTTAAGTTTAGTACTGAGACAGGGCAAGAGGTGTTCTGCCCAATGAAGTGGTCCTAGCTGAGATATGGTCCCGCCCCTCACTGTTCAGCTCAGTTGTGCCAGTTGATCTTAAATACTGTTAATCTCTTCACACTGATACGAACGGGGGAACTAACCTGGTTCTTCCAAGGTGATCTGCTCCAGGATGCAGCTTCACCACCAGGGATAACTGACGTCATCCGCAGCTGGCCTGCCGGGGAAGCCAGCTGATCTGGAGTCTTGGGCGATGGCAGGTACTGCATACTGACCTGTCTCTCTTCAGTCTTGAGGGGGAATGAAGGTAGACAGACAGGTCTTCGTAATTCCCATGTCCACACAGAATCAGGCAGGAGTCCAAAGCAAACACAAGGAGAGACCCAAAATGGAGGGAGAGATGCCAGGCTTTCCCCTGCTTTTAGTTAGTGAGGAGTCACCTGTTAGTAGGTAGGTTTGAGGAGTCTGTTCCAGGCCGTTGGAATCTCCAGGGAGGGGTTTGGAAACCTACTTTCCATAAGGGAAATGCTGGGAGTATTTGGAATACAGGGAATGTTAGAGCAGAGACTTGTGGGTAATGCTCCCCCTTTTTTCCATGCTCCCTGCTCCTCTTAGCCTACCAGGGGCAGGGAGCAGAACGCCAGGATTCAGTCTTCTCCCTGGTCCTGTAGCCGAGCCTTGGAGGCTGAACAGCCCCTGGAGGGTCTGCAGGCTGTGTGGCCACTGGGCTCTGGAGACCCCCCGGAGCTCAAAGTCTGGTTGTCAGGAGGCCTGGATGGGTGGCCTGTGCAGAAAACACCGTCTCCCCGGTCTCAGTGTCCATATTTATAAAGTGGGACCACACTTCCCCCATCCAGGATGACCAGGACTAGACACAGCACATATAAAGTGCCCCTCTCAGAGTAGAGGCTTAGCAAGCTGTGCCCCGGTGATGGTGATTTAACGGTCGTACACATAGGCCCTGGGACCTGAGGGACCCCTGTGGTCCCACGGCACAAGGACATGAGTCTTATGTCTAGCTCATCCTTCCATGACCCCATGACCTGTCCGTCTTTGCAGCAAGACCAGTGAGTGACAGACTTCAAAGGCGTGCTGGGTTTTTGTTTGTTTGTTTGGTTTTTTTTTTTTTTTTTTTTTGAGATGAAGTCTTGTGGGTTCCAGGCTGATGTCAAACTCACTCTGTAGCTGAGAATAGCCTTCCACCAGATTCTCCCAGTTCTGCACCCTGAGGGCTGGGATCACAGCTGTGTGTCACCATGTCTGATTTTATGTGGTTCTGAGAATCAAAACTAGGGCTTGGTGAATGCCAGGCAAGTGCTCTACCAATTGAATAACATGTCTAGCTCTCATCTTGTGTGTGTGTGTGTGTGTGTGTGTGGTGTATATATATGTATGTATTCTTGTGGCAGGTGCACACACACACACACACACACACACACACACACACACACATGTATGTGAGCGTGGAGGCCTGAGGCTGTGACAAGAGCTGCTGTCCACCCAATTCTTCTGAGCCAGGGTCTCTTTCTGAGCTTGAAGCTCATCAGTGTCCGGGTTTGCTGACATGTGAGTCACGGGGCTCCCCCTGTTTCTGCCTCCCCAACTCTAGGATTTTTGTTGCATGCTGCTACCCGCACCCAATCCTATTATTAATGTTTTGAAGTCACAACATTGTCACATGCCTTACAATGGACAATAAAGGGGAGAGGCTCATGGGCCCCACTCCTAGCTGAGAAAATATTGACAACTGATGGTTTCTGTGGAAAGGAAAAATCACTTGTCTTTAAGGATGTGGTCCCTGGTAGGCCAACCTTGCTCCAGCAGATAGCCCAGACCCGTGAATATGTGGGCAGTACAATTGGACTTGGTAGGTTATTTAAGAAAATAAAAGAGAGGACATGAAGTTGGGAGAGGTAGGAGTAGATGGGGAGGAAATGAGGGGGGGGGAGTAGAAGGTAAATATGATCAAAATACATTGTATAAATTCTCAGTGAATTAACAAAAATATTCTATTCTTAAAAAGTAAAAACAAAAACCAAAATAAGACACACAAAAAAAACCCCAAACAACCAATTTTTTTTTTAAAAAAAAGGACAATGAAAGGCAAACCTGGTGGCATAGGCCTTTAATCCTGGCTACTAAGGAAGCCAAGACAGGAAGGTGCAAAGTTCAAGGCCAGCCTCAGCTATAAAGTGAGTTCAAGTCCAGCTGGTAGCTTAGTGAATGTGATCTTACATCAAAATAAAAAGTAAAAACCAGCCAGGTGGTGGTGGCACACACCTTTAATCCCAGCACTCCCAGTGCGGATCTCTGTGAGTTGGAGGCCAGCCTGGTCTACAGAGTGAGATCCAGGAAAGGCGCAAAGCTACACAGAGAAACCCTGCCTTGAAAAAAAACCAAAAAAAAAAAAAAAGTAAAAACCAAGGCTGGGAATGTCAGCATGCACATCACTAATCCCCAGTGCTGGAAAGAAGGAGGAGGAAGGGGAGGAGGAGAAGGAAGAGGAAGAGGAGGAAGAAGATGAGGAGGAGAAAGAGGATGAAGAAGAGGAGGAAGAGGAGGAGGAGGAAGAAGAGAAGGAGGAGGGGGTGGGAATGAGGAAGAGGAGGGGGAGAAGGAGGGGCAAGAGGAGGGGGGAAGGAAGAGGAGCAGCAGCAGCAGCAGCAGCAACAGCAGCAACAGACCTTCATCCCTGTCAGGGATCTTATTCAGCATCACATGAGGTATCACCCTGATTGTCTCATAAATGCTTTTATTTCTCACAGTGTGTTTAAATCAAATTCACACACATGTCATACCTGGCATGTGGTCAGCACCAGGGAAATGCCTTAAGTCAGGGGGTTCTTCCCCTTGCTCCCTTCCCCATGCGCCATATCCGCCTTTGTCCCGTGTGTGGTCCGCCTCCACCTGTGAAATGAGAGACCTGCTCACAACAGACGCTCCTGCCTGGTGTCCTGAGGATGTCACCTCAGCCCACTCCTGGGACAGCTGGTGAGGAGACAGACAGGTTGACACAGAGTGTCCATGTAACTCTGGAAGCTGGGATGGTGCCAGGCAGGGAACAGCAAGGCCGGGCCTC